TCCGATGGCGACCTACTCATCGAACATCTGTCAAATTCACTGAATTCTCTACAGACAAAGTATCTAGGTGCCGGTGTTGTACTCCTTGGTGACTTTAATAGGCTAGACACTGACCTGATCTGCCGTATTTCAGGTCTAATGCAAGTTGTCGACACACCGACCAGAGGTCATGCAATCCTCGACAAAATCATGACGAACATTCATCATCTTTATCAAAAACCGCAGTCAGCTTCTCCGATAGGTCTGAGTGACCATAACGCTGTGCTATGGCGACCAATAAGACGTGTTAACAAGACGAACCACATCCACAAACGAATAGTCCGACCCATAAGGGACTCTGATAAAAGATCCTTTGGCCAGTGGATATGCAGCCATGGGTGGTCTGAAGTCAAATCTGCCTCGTCTACAAACTCTAAAACAACCATCTTTTACTCAACGCTCTCAGATGCAATAGACAAATACTTCCCAACCAAGTTGGTCTCAGCTCACAGTGAAGATAAGCCCTGGATTACACCTGAACTCAAGTCACTTATAGTAAAACGACAAAGGGCCTTCTGCACCGGCAAACATTCTCTTTGGAGATTGTTACGAAATAAAATTATAAGACTAATCAAACGTGCGAAGCAAGTTTTCTACACTTTGAATGTGAGCAAATTGAAAAAATCAGACCCACGTCAATGGCACCAGCAGATCAAACGGATCGCAGGACATGTCATTAACCGGAGTGTTGATTTTTCGGATGGCGCATCTTTGACTCCACTTGAGTATGCTAACGAGATCAATCGCCGTTTCATTGCAGTTGCGGACAATGTTCCCCCGCTGGATCCCGATTCCCTACCTGCTTATTTACCAGCCTGTGGTCCAGCCCCTGAAATATCACCTGAGGAAGTGTACAAGAGCCTAAGGAAACTGAANCATAAACAAAAGTGTCGGTCCAGATTGTGTTCCTCCCAGATTGATCAAGGAATTTGCCTACGAACTCTGTTTCCCGTTGGCGGACATTTTTAACCGCTCGTTACGTGACGGCATAGTCCCTGATATATGGAAAAGCGCCTCTGTTATCCCAATCCCTAAGTCGCACCCCCCGGTCATTGAACAGCTGAGACCGATCTCCCTGACTTGTTTTTTTGCAAAGGTACTTGAAGGGTTTGTGGTCAGTTGGATTACTAAGGACATCGGTTCCTTATTGGACCCATACCAGTTTGGATCACTAAAGGGATCCTCTACTACCCATTGCCTTGTTAAACTCCTTGAAGACGTACATAGAGAAACCGACAAACCCCAAACATCCGGCCTAGTCGTAGCCACTGATTTCTCTAAAGCATTTGATCCAGTTAGTCACCAGTTAGTGGTTGAAAAATTTATAACATTAGGTGTCAGACCCTGCATTATCCCATGGATTTGTAGTTTTTTAGGTGACCGCACTCAACGTGACCGATACAACGGAACTTTATCTGACTGGGCAACAAACAATGCCGGTGTTCCTCAGGGCACAAAAATGGGGCCCATTGCTTTTTTGGCTATGATCAATGACACTAGACCAGAAAATTCTAGAGTTATTCAGTACAAGTATGTTGATGATATGACCCTGTTTATGTCTTTTAACGAAAGGGGTGAAGCGGTTATGATGCAAACCGAACTCGATCGTCTTCAACAATGGTCTAACAGTAACATGATACGGTTAAACCCAGCTAAGTGCAACTCTATGACTATTTCTTTTAAACGGTCTCCCTTCAAGCCAGTTCTGCACATTGGTGATTCAGCTCTCAGTCAAAGTAATTGTCTTAAGCTCCTTGGCATTCACGTCCAAGAAGACCTCAAATGGGATAGTCAAGTCAATGCTGTATGTAAGTCTTTCAATCGTAAATTGTATTTTTTACGTCAACTGAAACGCTGTCACATGTATTGTTAAGGACCTTAGAACTATTTATATTCAGTACGTTAGATCAGCTGTGGAATATGCCTGTCCAGTGTGGACCTCAGGAATAACAAAGAAACAACTTCAGTGTTAAGAAAGATTGCAGAGAAAGGCTTTCAGCATTATGCTCACGCACGACTACTGTATGAGCCGCAGTTATGACGAGATTTGTAGTGAATTAGATATTCCACCTCTATCTGAGAGATTTGAAATACTTGCTCTTAATTTCGGCAAATCACTTCTGAATTCTGAGAGATTTCGAGATTGGCTCCCTCCAAACAGAAACAACAATCTCAGAAATTCCCATCTCCTCACAACAGTCAAATGTAGAACAAACAGATACAAAGGTAGCAGCATTCCCTCCATTACTAAGCTGCTTAATAACCACGCTGCAGGGGCGGCGCTTGGAGTTTAGGAACATTCCCTAGCGCTTTTTTATCACCATTTGTCCATGTACACGCTTGTTTAGGGGGTTTTCTTGGTTCTCAACAGGAATTGCTTGCGTTCATGGTTCAGGCACTTTGGCCCATTCCTCTACGGATTTGGGC